TCCTGTGTTGTGTGTCGTCCCCCCCGCCCCCCCAAGCACTGTGAGTCAGTACGGGGACATCCTCTCTGTGCATTGGCTGCTCTGAATGGGAATGTCGTCCTCGAAACTTGGTGGACCAGGATTTTGTTCACGCTCTCTCTTTCTCCTTTCCTCTTAGTTTGCTCCCTCGTGGTCTGGGCAGACCTGCCACTGTCCCCAACTTTGTCTTCCGTGCTGTCCTCTGTAGTGCATTCTTCTGGGGAGGGGTGTCGATGTCGCTGGGACTGGGGCTGGCTACCTCGCTGACCTCTCTGTTGCTCACGGCTTCATGCCAGCATGCTCCTCTCAAGGCTAGGCACACCAGGCTGAGGTCTGGTCCCTCTCCCTTTCCTGAACCCCCACTCGGTCTCCTGATTGGTGAGTTTACTGATGGCCATGGAGCTCTCGATGCAAGCTGCTTACCTGGGTGCCTTTCGGCCGGAAGTCCTCCAGATTGCTTCTTGATTGGCATCCTCACTTGCAATAGAGTCCGAGCATCCTCAGTTGTTGGATTTATCTTTAACTATCTTTTCACTGTAGGAGTGGGATCCCATTCCTTTAGAGGAAGGCCAATTAGACAACAGTACTGTATTTGATATATTAGAAACAGGTGACTTCTCTTCCCTGAACAGATTATGTTCATCTTTGCAAAACCCCTTTCTGCTTCTGCTGATCTTACAGCAATTATTCTGACAACATTTTAGCTCTTTGAACACTTTGAGGAATTGTATAGTTCACTCCTAGTACCTTGTGAGAATCTACCATGCAACAAAGCTGAAAGGAATGATAACATGTCATACTCTAGTTGTTTAGCACTTTTTCTCTGTTACACGTTTATTTACTGTAGTGACAAACTCAAGAGAATAAAAATGTAGTATTTCATCAAAAGTATAACATATTTTATGAAATGAATGAATAAATATTACAAGCAGAGTTCCACATAATTTTTCATATCTGTGGCCAGAATGAACATTACTACGGGTGCTTAGAATCCACTGTTGGTCACATGAGTGTTAAAGGAGACTGAGGAATGTAAACTGATTTCCACATCGGGTGGCTGCCCAGCTGCCCACCTTAGAACCCTGATTGCAAGTGCCATCTTAACAACCGGTGTGCCAAACTCAACAAAAAATTAGGTATCGGTTCTGCTGAACTGCAGAATCCCACCACTGATTGGCTTTCTTGAGCTGAATTTAAATATGGAATATAATGCTTAAAATCCTGGAGGGGCATTTCATTCTAAATAAAAGAATGGTTTTATTTATTTAGTGGTTAAGCACTGAGGTGCTGTGTTATTCCGGGTTGACTAGGTAAACAAATCCAGAGACATTCATAATGGTGTGAAAGAGCTTTATATCAGAGTAGTTGAATATTAAGAAAACATCCCAGCCCATCCAGATCAAGTCCATAAGTCCAATATTAGCAGACTCACATAAACACATGCAATGATGCCGAATGCAGGAAGATCACAGACCAGTGTGTTAAAAGTCTTGTGAATCCAGTGGTGGTAGAAACATCTCCAGGGCTCAGGCTGCCATCAGCATGGTTCCATGTGGCTTGTCATCAGGAAGACCAAGGCAGAGAGAGTCTTGCCCACTTCTGGGGTGGGGGGGTGGGGGGAGAGGAAGTTCCCAGAATCCTCATGAGAAGACCACACCCACACAGAGGCATCATTGGCTATGACCTGATTGACAGGCTAGACTCTACTTCTTCACTCAATACCTTCAAGTTGACACGAGATTATGTAACTACCACAGGTAGTTGACGCCCATGAAGGTTGTAGCCTAGGAAATCCTAAGGGGCATTTCTTTCTACCCTTTGGCCTTTGATAGCTTTAGTTTTCATTTCTCTGATGACCAGCGACCTTGAGCATATTTCTGGCCTCTTTCTGCAGTTCTTAATATGGTAAGCAACTGAGTAATGAGAAATGTTCTTCCATTCCTTGAAATGGGATTCAGGTTGTTTTAAGGATGGCAAAGTATCCAAGATGTCTCTCCTCCCTCTTCCCTGTTCTCATCCCCGATAGATACCACGTTGGCCAGGCTTCGCACACCCCATTTCAATAGGAACACTGGAAAGAACATCCCCGTTAGTGGGAGCCCAGCCCTGAGACCGGCAGAGCCTTCTCTTGGCAATGTTTCATTTCATTTCTTTAATCTCGCACAGATTTCTCCTAGCTACGTCAGAGTCATTGGTGTAGGAATAAGCAGTGTGTAAGTGGATGGTGTAGCACTCACACAGTTGAAAACTATGAATATCAGAAAGTGAGTGGCTGTTCACTTGGCTCTTTTATTTTTTATACTGGTGGGAATTATAATGATGAACTCTGAACACGAGTTCAGGCCTTTATTGTTTCATTCCTTAACTGCTGGGCTTTCTTTCTATTGCCTGATAGTTGCTGATTGTTTATGAGCATTGTCCCTATAGGATTAAAAACAACAATGCCACCATGACCCTCTAGCAGGGGTGGGGAGTCTTTTCTGTCAAGGACCATTTGGGTATTTATAGCATCATGTGTGAACCACACAAAATTATTGTCTTAAAATGAGCCTGCCATATTTGGTCATTTAATGAACTCTTCCCTAGTGTAATGGCTAGAACTGCTGCTCTTCGATAAGGCGTGTGGTGTTAGCTGGTATTGATGACTTCAGTCCAGCAGTAGCTGCATGTGTCTGTCTCCCCCCACCCACCCCCTTCCGCTACCTCCCCCCACCCCAATTAAGAGTATAGTAGATCTGCTCCCTAAGGTTTTCAAAATGTACATTTTTACAGGGGCAGGTGGCCTCAGTTTTGTCCTACAGAGTGGCTGGTGGGTTTGAACCCCACAGCTTTTGGTTAGCAGCCTAGTGCTTAACAAACACGCTGTGCCACCAAGGTCCCATCCTATATGATAGGAAGGCTAAACCTAACTGCACATTTATTCACTTTGAAGAAAGTGTACACTGAAGGGTTCTCCAGCGTGTGGGCGTCAGGGTCTTTCAGAGTTCTGATCGTTGTGCTTCGACTTTCATGTCATTTCTACAATGCTGTATTTGGGCATGCTTACTTACTTTGTGATTTAATTTTTATTTTTCTCCATCAAAAAACAACAAAACACTTCCGATTTATCCCTCTGCTCTGAGTTTTAGTTAAAGAAGTAGTGTTTTCTGGGCCCTGGTCCTTAGGAGTGGGTGGAAATTTGACAAGCATATCATTTTATTTTTAACTCCTTAGGCTTTTTAATCCTGGGCTTGCAAAATGTTTGTACTCTGAGTCAGCGCCTTTTTGGGGAGACATGCTTATATTGTAACATGCTTCTTAATTTATAGAGGTTTTTTAGAGCTGATTATATACATCCTGGTGGTGTAGTGGGCTATGTGTTAGCCTGTTAACCTCAAGGTCAACCACGCTGAATCATCAGCCATTCTTGGAAAAAGGTGGGGCTTTCTACTCCCATGACGAGTTATGCTCTGGGAACCCCCTGGGGCAGTTTTATCCTGTCTTCAGGGCTGCCATGAGTCGGCATCAACTCGATGGCAGTGAGGTAGGTTAGCTAGTGTGCCTTCTTTTTGTCCCCTGTGCTCTGCCTGCCCGCCATGCCTTGGGTGAAGGTGGATGCAGTAGCTCCAACATTCCAGCATGCGCCTGGTACTTCCCGTGTGGTTTCACATAGCTACACGTCTTAGAACAGTACACGCTGAGTTCTGTGTTCTGTGCTGTGTGTTATGATCTTAGGAGTCCAGGAGAAGATGGGCATCATGAATAAAGGAGTCATTTACGCACTTTGGGATTATGAACCTCAGAATGACGACGAGCTGTCCATGCGAGGAGGAGACTGCATGACAATCATCCGCAGGGAGGATGAAGACGAAATTGAGTGGTGGTGGGCTCGCCTGAATGACAAGGAAGGCTACGTTCCACGCAACCTGCTGGGAGTAAGTTTGACCGACATTCGGGCTGTGCTCACGTGTCAGAGGGGCTTTGCAAAAACTGCCCTGTGCTCTGGATCTAATGCAGCTTCCTAAACTTTTAGACGAGGGGTTTTAAGTTTATTCGTCTCTGTAGACTTTTACCACTCTCTGTTATATTCAATACCACATTTATATATTTGCCAGCCCCTAATGGTCAAGGGTTGTGTCTACATTTATAAACAGGGCAAAGAAAAGTGGATAAGGCTATGGGAACTGATTGTCAGCCTGCCCAAGTCAAAATTTGTACAGCTTGTCTGTAGGCAAGTGGTAGAGAGAGCGGAATAGGGCACTAAAGATGCAGGATTCTCTTCTTTTGCTACAATTTGGTGTAAAGTTCATAAAACAAGAAGTGATAAAGTCAAATCAGCCCGTGTAAGCCAGTACGCCTGCATTTGTGCAGCGGGACCGCTATGAGGTGCTGGTTCTTGGGCGTGTATTTCGGGGAAAGACTAACATCTGGTGGGATGGGGAGAGAGATGCACAATATGGTGTCTAAGATTCAGCATCGACTCTTTCCTGGGCTCACTTATTCTCACGTGGGGCTGTCTGAACCCACGGGCACCCTGTGTGTCAGAGAGAATGAGAGACACGAGAGAAAGAAGCATTGAAGGTTGAAAGTGCTTTTGCAACCTACTCCTTGGAAGAAGTAAGGACATGTGAGGCCACGTGAGTGGTGGGCATCGTGGAGGAGGGAGAGCGAGGCTGTACAGCAGCGCAGTGGCAGCCGCTCCTCCGCGTGATGTGGACGAGGCCCGCTGAGACACAGCAAGCGGCCCACAGCACTGCCGCGTCTCCGGTCAGGCGGGCCGGGGCTGTGAATGTGCAGTGGCCCCACATCTCCTCCCCCTCCTCCAGACTCCAGAGGGCACCGTGTCAGAAAGAGCGATGACAATGGGGAAATATAATGCCCCGGAGCCCTTTACATGGAGAACTGGCCAAGTACTGGGGGAGTTAAAACTAGCTCTGAGGCTTTACCCTTTCAAACTCCTAGTTTACTTCCAGCACGTTTCTAGGACCCGAGAAATAGAATACCACTAATAAATGTTCATAGTAAACAGCACTACTCCTTTTGATTATTCGTGTCTGGAAAGAGCAAGTCTTCCTCTTAGAGAACTAGTTGCTAAGAGTATTTTCTCACAAAGAGGCTCTGCCCCTGTCGGTGCTGAAACGGGGAGGCAGTCAGACCGGCCTCTGCTTTGTGTGGGGCGGTCAGGGAACAGTGGGCCAGACTCGAGACTTGTGTCCCAAATACCCCATCAAAGTTTCCGTAGGTAAAGCCTTTAGAAACCTTTTGTGTGTAGCTGCAGTTTCAGTATAATCCCTCTCCCCTGCCTCTGTTTCTTTTGAGGTTTTGTGGGAGGAAAAAAACAAGCCGAGGAAAGTATATACATGCTGAATTTTAATCAGAAGTTCGAGTCTTGAAAACTATTGGCTAAATGTGTTTTCTCAGAGAGAAAATCTCCTTTATATAGCGCTTATCCACCAGTCAGGTTTCTCTTCTGTTTTGACTGCGAGTCTCCTTCATTTTCCCCAGGCTCTTAATAATCCCTTTGTTTGTTGTCCAGGGGAGGAGGGGAAGCAGGCCTCTGTGTGGTTTGTCAGTTGAATTACTAGTGAGACTTGATGTTGCCTCCTAGGCTAAAGACCTGGTCGGTGGCTTTCGCAAGCACCCTTCTCTTAAGCTTCCCATTTGGAAAACATCAAACAGCAAGAATCCTAACCCCCAAGCCCACCTAACCTTTCTTAAAAATGTTGACCTTTTGTCTAAGGCTTTTTATTCCTTCGTCTCCAGTCCCTCTGCACATGCTGTCCGCTGGGAGTCCGGGGAGAGGAGATCCGAACGGCTTCTTTCTCTCCTAGTCGTGGAAGCCGGAGTCCTAGCGTATTGCATGTCCCTTTAACAATCGGTGCTCCTTGTGAAACTTGATTTGTGGAAATGTAATGCATGGCCCATCACGGAAGGGCTGGGCTTGGCGTTCACATGAGTGTGCTGTCAAAGGGTGGCATCTTGCGGCGTGGCTGCCCGAGCAGCTGTGTGCTTAGGCAATGCTGGGTGTGCCATGCGGCAGAAGGAGTCCCTGTCTCAGTTTAAACGATGCAACCCTTCCG